TCAGGTCTTTCAATGGCTTTGGGAGCAGGCATTCATCTCCTCAATTTTTTATTGTTGTTGCTACCGCTACCTAGCATGGGCCAAATTTACCGTAACATAAGCTTGGGTTCATCTCTTTATGCTGATAAGTCTTTAACATGGACCTCACCGTCTGGGGAGTTTGCCTTTGGCTTCAAGGCTATCGGTACAAGTAGAGATTTCCTACTTGCCATCTGGTTCGACAAATTACCTGATAAGACCATAGTTTGGTCTGCCAATCGGAACAATCTGGTACAGCGGGGATCAAAAGTTCAACTGACAACAGATGGGCGCCTAGTCCTCAACGACTCCAAAGGTCGAGAGGTATGGAAGGCCGAATTCAGCAAGGAGGTAGCAGCAATCTACGCAGCCATGCTTGACAATGGGAACTTTRTGCTAGCAGACCAAAATTCTAGTACAATATGGGCGAGCTTTGGTTTTCCCACTGACACCATGCTTCCTACACAGACATTAGAAAAGGAGAGTCGTCTTGTTTCTGGTCGGTCAGAAACGAACTTTTCAAAAGGGAGGTTCCATCTCCATATGCAGAATGATGGTAATCTTGTGCTCACCAGAACAGCTTTCCCACTTGATGTGTCTTACAATGATTATTGGCTAAGTAACACAACAGAAACAGGTTCTCGATTGGTCTTCAATGAGACTGGTTACATTTTCATTATACAAACAAATGGAAGTGCACTACTGCTTAATCCCATATCAGCAAACACAGTTTCGACAAGAGACTTCTACCAAAGAGCCACACTTGATTKTGATGGAGTTTTCAGGTATTATGTCTACCCAAAACCCACCGCCCCAACTGACGGTCGATGGCCCAATTCCTGGACCCCTATTTGGTTTATACCCGATAATATCTGCTTACAAATTTTTGGGCCCTATGGCAGTGGCGCTTGTGGGTTTAACAGCTATTGCGGACTAGATGATAACCAGAAACCTTATTGTAAATGCCCACCTGGGTACACCTTTATAAATCCAAACAACCGGTGGGATGGATGCATACAGAACTTTGCCTCACCATGCTCTGAAGAAGGATCTCAAGGAGCTTCGCTTTATGAATTGAAACAAATGGATAACACCGATTGGCCATTGTCCGATTTTGAGGACTTCTCACCAGTAAATGAAGACTGGTGCAGAGAAGTATGCTTGAACGATTGTTTCTGCGCTGTTGCCATATTTAGAGATGGGCATTGTTGGGAAAAGAAGCTTCCACTTGGAATGGGAAGGGTTGACCAACGGGTTGGGGGAAAAGCTCTCTTCAAAGTTCCTAAAAGTAATTCTTCCTTAATGGCTTCAAAAAAGAATGATCGTCAGTCACCTTTGACCCTCACAGGATCATTGATTCTGGGTGGATTCGTGTCTCTTTTACTACTACTTGCTATTTTTCTGGTTACTTGCCACTTATACCGTAGGAGATTGCAGAAACCTCAGCCATATCATGCTATGCCAAGATTGAATCTACGAAATTTCACTTTCAAAGAGCTGCAAGAAGCTACAGATGGTTTTAAGGATCTGATTGGTACTGGTGCTTTTGCAACAGTTTACAAAGGAGCCTTAAAAATTGGTAATTTACTAAACTATGTTGCAGTAAAGAAGCTAGACAAATTGGTGAGGGAAAATCAGAAGGAATTTGATGCCGAAGTGAGTGCAATAGGTAGAACAAATCACCAGAATCTAGTCCAACTACTGGGATTCTGTAACGAGGGACAACATCGTCTTCTAGTATATGAGTATATGAGCAATGGCTCTTTAGCAACCTTTCTCTTT